TTACATGTTCATGCAGATGTCTATCACCCTCAGTACTGGACCTTTTACTATCTTCAGATTGGCCTTTTGAAGCATCCCCACCATCCAGAGAGGATTCAATTGTTTGTTTGACAATAGTTGAAGAGACACACGTGCCACTCACATTTTGAAAAGAGAACAGGTCTGTTTCTTTTACCAGCTCAGTTATTGGTGCTAGAAGGGTTTCCTCTGTAGTAACACAAAGTTCCTCCATATTTGGACTTTCCTCTGTTGTGTCAAGTAATGGTAGCATTCTTGCTGTAGGAGGGTTTTGTAATTGATTCTCAGAAATAGTATTTTCAGTTTGAGGTCGGAGGAGTTCTGTCGCATCGATAAGAGTGGAGCATGGAGACCATTTTAAAATCACGTCCTTATTTCTAGAGAGAAGGTAGACACAAAATTAAAGTCAACATGTAGATAATGTCAAGTAAAATAAGAAATTATGCAAATCTTTGTGTGAGCATTATAAGAGTGAACATTCTATTATATCTAGCACTGTACTATGTTAGTTGTGCTTTAGGGCAGTGGCTTCCGAAGTTAGAGACAGGACCCCGCTGTGGACCACAAAACACCAGAACACGAGAAAAGCTCCAGAAAACAAACAATTAAAAAAAAATTAAACAAACTAGCCGATTTTCACTATAATTGTTACAAAAGATAGCAAACTATCATTTTTGTCATTAAAAATGAACAGAGCTCTATTCACAGTAGGGCTGAACAATTTTGGAAAATATTCTAATTGCAATTTTTTTACCTCAATTTTGTGATTGCGATTTAATATGCGATTTGAAATCCAGCTCAGAGCATGGACGGATGGACGGAGGAACAGATGGAGGGTGTTTCCAACTCCCCCTCTTGGCTCTGCGACAAAAATGTGTGTCTTGTTGCTTTTAGCTCTGTTGCTCAGTTGTGTTGCAACAATTTAAATCACTTCTATCCATCCTCAATAAAATGCATGCAATGCATTCAAGCAATGCAACATGCATTATATCACTGCACATGGAGTAAACCAAGAGAAACAGAAGTCACTTCATTCACCCTCAAAACTTACCCACTCTCCCCTCCATGTGCCTGACCAGGACCATGACAGTACAAAGAATCTAATGTGAATGAGTTACTTGGCGTCTCTGAGGACAAGAACCCACGACTGTCCTCTGTAACTTTATTCCTCTCTGTTTCTGTCGCAACAGTACTTCCCTCTCTAGTAAGCGTTTGCCTCACAGAGCTGAAACAATAATGAGACAAAACAGGGAACAGACTTGAGAAGTCAAGGAACCAATAAAACCTGCAACAATTCACATACAACATGTAAATATGTAATGACTATAACTGATGCTGCAAATGTGTTGCTGTGAAAAAGCAAAACATCAGAGCATCACAGACGAAGCAGGGTAACCCACCTTTCACTAATGGTCAACAACAATGGCATGTCAGGAATTGAGTGCCACATTCTGCAATGTACGTTTCTGAAAACAGAATTCAAGAGCAAATGCTTGAGAACCTAACCCACTACGTTTGGAGATAAGTTTGCAACCAGCTAGATCTTCTTGAGCTGGGGTTTAAAGTCCCATTTTCTTTTCTACATCCCAGCATGTGAGATCTTCTCAGGTTTTTGAAAATCTCACTATAATCTTTCACTACAATCAATCATAAAAGAAAAAATGGCCAATACTCTTGGATTTTAGAGGTATTGACTGAAAAGTATATAATGAAAAATTATCCCAAAAAGGCGCTGTTTGAAGGGGCTTCAGTAGTTTTTCAGATATAAAAAAATTAAAATAAAAAAGTTCTAATGTTAAAAATCTTGGTGTTATTTTTGATCAGGACATGTCTTTTATCCCCCACATTAAAAACGTTACTAGAACTGCATTCTTCCACCTGCGTAATATCACTAAAATTAGAAACATGTCATCTAAAAATGATGCAGAAAAACTGGTTCATGCATTTGTCACATCTAGACTGGACTATTGCAATGGTTTATTATCTGGGTGTCCAAATACTTCTTTAAAACGTCTTCTGTTGATCCAAAATGCTGCTGCCAGAGTCTTAACTGGAGTTAGTGGGAGAGATCATATCTCTCCAGTTTTAGTTTCTCTCCATTGGCTCCCTGTCAAGTCCAGAATAGAATTCAAAATCTTACTTCTAACCTACAAAGCTCTCAACAACCTAGCTCCATCTTATATTTGAGATCTTATTTTTCCATATTTCCTAACAGAGCACTTCGCTCTCAGACTGCAGGTTTACTTGTGGTTCCTAGAATTTCCAAAAGCAGAATGGGAGGAAGATCTTTCAGTTATCAGGCTCCTCTCTTGTGGAACCAACTTCCAGTTTCTGTCTGTGAAGCTGACACATTGTCCAGTTTTAAGACTTTCCTTTTTGATAAATCCTATAGTTAAGTTTGGCTTGGGTTTCCTGAGCTATCCTTTATTTATACTGCTATAGGCTTTGACTGCTGGAGAACAAATTGACCACATTTCCTCTCTCTGCTGCTGTCTTTACTTATTCTACTCTACCTGTTTATATTTGTAATTATTTCTATCTTAACATGTTTTTCGTCTTTCCTCCTATAGAAAGTTAACCTGGACCTGCCATTCTGTGTTCATTTGTTTCTACTTCCTGTCCTCTCAAACCCAGATGGTTGAAGCAGAAGGCCGCTTATCCTGAGCCTGGTTCTGCTGGAGGTTTCTTCCTGTTAAAAGGGAGGTTTTCCTTTCCACTGTTGCCACTGTGCTTGCTCAGGGTGAGAGACTGTGACAAAGTGAAGATTCAACAAGTCTGCTGGCTTCCTTAGATAGAGAACTTTACTAATTGGTGTTTTTAATGCATGTGAATGTTTCTGTTCTGTGCCCTGAGACAACTTTGTTGTTACATGGAGCTTTATAAATAAACTGAATTGAATTGATATATAGATGGGCAATTCTGCAGTTTGGCTCCACATCAGAGACTGGTATTGTACAGTAGAAGAACCCTTAAGTTGAAGCTAGAATGGAACCAACATCCCTGTCACCTGATTCTACTAAAGGTTATAAGTCTTGCTCCTCCAAAGTAAAAACATAGAACATTGATCTTGTTAAAAATAAAAGCACAACTCAAATATTTTCATTAATTCAACTTTTATTTAAACAGATAAGTCACATTGAGCCTCGAAGACTCATTTACAAGCGAGACCTGTTTGGTCAGACAATAAAATGTGGTGAAAAATTACACATAGGGTTTGGAGGCAAAAAAAATCCTAACATGCTCTTAATCTTTGGCTGAAGGTCAACAGCATGATAATGGGGAAAAAACATCTTGTACAACAAGCACATAATGACGCCGACACTCCGCAGTGGGGGGGACGGGGGTCGCAAGGGCGGTGAGCATGTCCAGAGACAACATGTCCAGAGCCGCATTCAGATAAACATGATCGTTTTGGGGACAGGCAGAACTTTTACTGACTTCTACCTTGAGTCTGTGTTGGTCCACTTGGTTCCGAAACGTCCAAATTAAATGGCCACACCAATGGACCATGCCTGAGAGTAATCCCCGAGATCAGATCCATCCTCCCAAAAGCATTTGAGTCTGGGTACTTGAGGCACGAACCAAGCCATCATAAGTCAAGCAGCCTGATCAGGTCTAAATTTGCTGCCGACAGCTTCCTTGATTGTTGATAGACCAGGGACCAGCCAAATCCAAAAAGCAGGAACCAGTTATCTTAAATCCACGTATATATGTGTCCTTAAAATCCACAAATGGCAGCAGAGATAGACACATCATCAAGTCTTCCAAGTTGATGAGATTTCCAGCTGTGTGTGTGCCAACAGGGCAAATCGGCTCACTTAAAGCCTGTCTTCTCTTCAAAGAAATGTTATCAATTGTGTTGAGGGACCAATTGATCAAATCCATAGCAGAATTATGATTTGGAAGATTTGTAGAAGAGAGGCTCTAAGGCAGTTTCACAGACAGGACAGAGCAAAGAAAAGTGGAGAGGGAGAGGAGGAGAAAGGTGCCCGCTAGGTCCGTCACAATAACAAATTTTTGCTGGGTGATTAATTATCTCATAAATTATTGCGATAAACGATAATAATGTTTTAAATTTGACATTATTAATTATTTAAGAAGTAGATTAATTTCTGTGTTGTACCTTTGTTGACCACTTGATGACAGTATAAGACTGTTTAAATCGAAGGATTCATGATAGTGAGGGAGCGAGCAGAGTGTCTCATTAAGAAAAATGGAAGGGAGGCCCCTTGTGATGGGCTGTCTCTCGTAGTTGTTTTTCAGTTTTCAAAATGATGGATGCTCTGAATGTTTTGAGCTCTTTAGCATTTTTCACACAAAGCTTTGAATTAAAAAAAATAAATAAATCAGTAAACAAGTTCTCAGCTTCTTTTTCAGAGAAAAACAACTTTTTACATGAAGGCACGGGTTTCAACCGTGAATTATGGAGCTTTGAGAAGACAGAGGTTTTTTCCCCGAGGTCAGCCTGTTAGCTTAGCTCGTAGCCGAGCTTCTCAGCTTAGTTGCTTTTAATGATCCAAAAACGTGATTTTGGACAGTTAAAATTGATTTTAAAGAGAAAGTGTGGGGTCAGTGAAGAGCACCGGTGTTGAGCCTTTTGTCATCCAGTGTCTTCAGTAGAAAGAGAGGGACATGAAGAAACGATAAAGCCGATAAATGAAAATAAGGTTAATAATTTTCATTCATCATGCGAGTAATTGATGTATTGTTTATCGCGACAGGCCTAGTGTCCGCCCTTGACAAGAGCAAGTGTTGAAAGTGGTAATATGGTAGTTTGTCTGCAGGTGTTGGCTCCTGTTGATTCACATACCTTACTGCTGTTTAAGTACTAATTTGTATAATACCTGCAGCTGTAATTAATTGTTTCATGTTTCGAAGAAAACTCATGTGACATCGTGGTTATAGCAGGATTTAATCTCCCACCTCTAGGATGCAGGTGCTGGTTCCTGTTGAAAGCAACTCCCAACAACCAGAGAGGGCAGGGGCACCTAGACTAGGATTATAAAACCACGTGGAAGCTTGAGTCGTGTGACTGACATGCGTCAGGCTGGCTGTAGGTCAACAAATATGATAGAATTAGACAAGCCTAGACTCTCAGGAAAGACACTTAGGAGGAAATAAAAGTGAAGATGATGCTAAATAGAAAAGGAAAAGTAAGCTAGAGTAAGACAACTTCATAGCTGATCAGAAAAAATATCAGGAGTGAAGCAGTGTGGTGGAGTGCCGTAAAGACAGAGCTTAGCATTCAAACACAACTTTAGCTAAACTTCTGCTTGACCAGTTTATTGATTTAATGTTTTACAACTCTAGTCTAGTACTAAAAATATAATTTATTCAATGAATCAGAGAGTAAAATGCACCAACACATTAAACTTGTCAAACTTTTTGTTCCCAAACAGCTCTTCCATAGGCGTAAACATTGTTGACCTATTTTCTGTCAGGCTGTTTACATCGATGTCCCCCATCGCTGAGGGATTTGACTAGTGAGTGTTTGTAGTTTTTGAATGTTTTGAGTGTTTTTCTGGGCTGGAATTGAACAGGGAATGCAAATAAACCTTAAGTAGGTAAACGTTACACTGTGTAGAAGAACAGAGGGTTGTTTTTGTTTTTGCTTGTACATGAAAGCACAAAGTGATGAATCCTGGAGAGAGCAATTTTATCCACCACCGGGTACAATGGTGGAGCCAGGGCGTGGCCAAAGGTGGCCTTGGCCACTGTAGATTAATCTTGGGCCACCCCAATCATTTGAGAAAACTGTACTTTTAAGTAGTGTTGTAGTACTCAAGACCGGTCTTGGTTTTGAGACCGGTCTCAAGACCATCAAAAAGTGGTCTTCAGACCGGTCTCAAGACCACTTTTTGATGGTCTTGGTCTTGTCTCGGACTCAGACATTGAGGACTTGGGATTATATTTGAAGACCAGTTAAGACCACAACTGTGGAAATATCACTAAATTGCCAGAATATTGTCCAGTTTATTTGTCAACATCGTTGTTTTTATTGGATGCAAAACGTACTGATTCAAATCCAAGAGATAACGTGACTCATTGCTAAATATATGTTTTTGTTACCACTATTACGCCCACCCCCTTTCACTCGCACTCGGTTCTGTACCAACAGAACAATACAGACAACAGAACGTAACGTCGCAACCAGGGGTGAAAGTAAGCCCCCAGTATACTCCCGCGTACGTCCATTCACGCTTACGTACGCGTGTACTGTACGCAGAGGGTTCAGACTTCGTACTCCAGCGTACACCCTGAGCAACTGCAGAGCAGCTTCGCAGACAAGGGGCGTTTACCTTCGGGACAAATTAAGGTCGCCAATTGGTCATTTGCTGACACGCCTACTGGATTGATTGACAGGTCTGAAGGAAAAAAAACGAGCGCTGGCAGCCTCAGTTGCAGCGGTGTTCTGTGTTTATAATAATAATGTCATCACAATGTCAGCACTGTATGTTTTCCATACAATGGCGAAATTAGTCTCTGCATTTAACCCATCCACCACCAGGTGGTGCAGTGGGCAGCTATTGAAAGCGCCCGGGAGGCATTTTGGGGATGAGGCGTGCTGCCCAGAGACGCCACGTGATGTGCAGTGACTGGGGATCGAACCTGGGACTTTCGGGTCCCAAGCCGGCTGCCCTGCCTCTACACCATCTCGGCACTCTTCAGAAACAAAAAGTAATGTATTTTACATCATTTGACCCACTGACACAAAACTAATGTTAAACTACTCAAATAGACCTGACACACAACACACCATCATTTATTTCTCATTTTAAAGCATTTTCTAATTAGTTATTGAGCGAAAACCATGATTTTTGAACAAATAAATTATGTAAAATTAGAAAATGCTTTAAAATGAGAACTAAATGAGGGTGCTTCATCTGTCAGGTCTATTAGAGAAGTTTAACATAAGTTTTGTGTCAGTGGGTCACATGACATGAAAATTATTGTGTAAAAACTACTGAATGTCTGAATTCTTTGTTACGTAGCTTTGAAAATTTATAAAAGCTTATACATTCATTCAAAAGCAAACTTAAAGTTGCAGTATGTAACTTTTATGAAAAATATTTTTATAAAAGTTACATATGTTTTTTACATATTTGTTAAAACTGTCACTATATCGTGACCGTATAGTATAAGACAGATAGTCTGTGAAAATATTGAGCTCCAAGACTTGAGGTCTTGGTCTTGACTTGGTCTTGGACCCCAAAAGTCTTGGTCTTGTCTCGGTACACTCTGGTCTTGGTCTCAGGTTAGGCAGTCTTGACTACAACACTGCTTTTAAGCAATATAAAATCTAGAAGGCATAGTTTCCTTAATTGATCGGGGTCGTCAGTTCACATATATGTTTGGGGGGTGGCCATCCTGGATCTTGACGTGTCAACCCAATTTTCAATAGTGACCTTTCTCACACCTAGATACAGCCACACACCAAAAAGGAAGTTGATACCTCACTTGTTTTTCAAGTTATGCTCACAGCATGAATGGATGGAGGGACAGATGAACCCATATTTCCAATTTCCCCTCTTCGCTCGGTGATGCGGGACAATAAAAAGTAGGCAGACCCAGTTAAATAATAATTAAAAGAAGACTTATGTTTTTGGCTGCACTTACCCTCTTGATGCATCAGTCTCACCAGCTCCAGTTGTTGCTGTTTTTCCATCTGCATCCATCGCCTTCTGGCTGGCAGAGACTCTAGAGTCAAAGCCTGAACAAAACAAAAAAAATGTTGTTTTGTGTTCTCTGCATGTGGATATGTGAATGTGTGGTGTTCTCGCTCACTTGCAGGTCCGGCAGACATGTTGTCCTCCTCACAAAGCGTGTCCAGATGGCTCCTGAATTCTAAAAGTGAAGCACAGACAAGACTTTACAAATCCCAATTAACCTTGACAACCATTCACTGCACTAGTCATGTATCCAGTGTGTACTTTTACTCTGTGTGAAGCTGTTTGGATCAAAGCATCTTAACCGTGAAGTTTTTGTTTCTCTACCTGTATCCTGTCTATCAGGACAGAGAGGGGCAGTGTGGGAAATGTCTGGCTGCTGAGAAGAAGGCCCAGAGGACAGAGGGGCAGAGAAAGAACTGAGGGGACTAAGTGAGTTCTCTACTGTGAGGGGGGCATCATGAGGTCCAGTGCCTCCTTGTCCTTTCTGATCCACAGTCTGAGCAGGGGGCAAAGAGGACGAGGCTGACAGGGAATACAAACAGAGATGAAAAGAAAGATGAAGCAAATAAAGGAACATCATAAAGACATCAATGACATGTCAGAGTCAAGAGATCAGGCAGCGTACAGGAAAAGAACTAGAGGAGAGAAAAAAGAGACTATTCTATGGTTTAAACATGCCTGGTTGAGTATCATTAAATAAGATTATACATAAAACTGTAAAATGATTATACATAAAATTTTTCCCTTACTTTTTTCTTTTTCTTTTCTATTTTTTTTATTTTTGGAAAGTGACTCCATAGTGTTAACATTCTGAGTTGAATACTGTACACGTTTGATATTTACGGTAATATCTGCATTTTTTGTTGTTCATATTTGTGTTTTTTAATTACAGTTATATCGCATGTGGGTAGACGGGAGCCCAGATGGTCAAGACTGTGTTCTCCAGGTAAACACTAATGTGTGGATTTTCAGTTGATAGTGTTTTTTGTGCTCTCCATGTTCGGGTAGGAGAGAGGTGTGGGTTTATACCGGATCGGTCTTTTTTTTTTTGTTTCGTTTATCAGGTATTGGCTTGTGATTTTTTTTGTATGTAAATAATTTCCAGTTGTTCAATTATGACCATCAATAAAGATGTTGACTAGTGGCTGCCCAGTTAAATGTGTAAGCTGGAATGTGCAATCCCTTAATGGTCCAGTAAAATTCTGGAAAATTATGTCTCACCTAAAACAGCTGAACACTGATATCACCTTTTTACAGGAGACCCATGTGAGCTGTCTTAGTGGAAAATTTGTTAAAAATGGTCTGGTCAGGTGTTTCAGTCTAATTTCCAATCCAGATCAAGAGGGGTAGCTATTATAGTTGGTAAGCAGGTACAATTTACAGCCTCGAGTGTGCATGCTGATAATGCTGGGCGGTATGATGTGGTGGGGAAGTTGTCGACACTGCCAGTGATCTTAGTTTTGGTATATGCTCCCAACTAGGACGATTCTACATTTTTTAATGACCTCCTCTAAAATATACCTAATATGTCATCACATAACCTTATAATTGGCAGTGATGCAATTTGTGTGCTTTCATCTCTCGACTGTAGTTGAATGGGGAAAACTACTCTGACTAAGTCTGCTCAACTAATCAACTCATTCCTTGAGTCGTATGGCGTGGCTGATGTGCGTAACCCTACTTCAAGATCATACTAATTTTTTCCCCCAGTTCATAAGACATATTCCTGAACTGACTATTTTTTTTCTTGATAAACAAACTCTGCCTTTGGTGAAAGAATGTGACTATGGGGCCACGGTCATCTTGAACCATGGTCCACATATTATGAAATTGCTTATTATATAGGAGATTCAACTCCTTACTTTTATCCAAGGAAAACTTTACCAAATTTCTTACATCTGAAATTGAATTTTTATTTGAAGTTAATTGAACTTCAGGGATGCCACTCTGTACTGTCTGGGAGGCATGAAAGGCCTACCTGAGGGGTCAAATAAATTCTTATTGTGCAAACAAAAAATAAAAGGACTTGGTACGGCTAAAACAGTTAATGTATGAGATATTACAATTAGACAGAGAATACAGCCACTCCCCCTCACAGAGTCTAAAGAAAAAAAATTTATTACTTCAAACTGAATTTAATACTTTGTATACTCAGCAGGCAGAGTATATTTAATCTCTAAATCTAGACAGGGTTACTATGAACATGGGGAAAGGGCTGGGCATTAGCTTGCACATCAGCTGAGGCGACAGTCAGCCAAACAAACTATTACAACAATAAATAATGAACAGGTAGTTGCATGCCACGACAATACTGAAATTAATATGTTTTAATAAATTTTACCAGTCATTGTATATGACTGAGTCATCAGCTAATGTATCGAAAATACAGCAGCGCTGTGGCTGAGTGGGGAGGCTGTGGCTGAGTGGTTAGAGCAGTCATTCTCCAATGCAAGAGTTGGGGGTTTGAATCCACCAGCAGTCACATGCCGAAGTGTCCCTGGGCAAGACACTGAACCCCTCATAGCCTCCGATGTGTCCCATCAGTGTATGAATGTGATAAAGCGCTGATTAGTCTCTTTAGAATGATTTGTTCAATTAGCTTTGTGTAGATCTAGTAGAGAGCTGTATGAATGGGTAAATGAGGCACAGATTGTAGTGGAAAGCGCTTTGAGTATCTTGATCAGATAGAAAGGTGCTATATAAGTACAGTCCATTTACAGTAGGTACTTTTTTTGGAGATCTTGAACTTCCTTCAGTGAATCCTGATCTTGCTGGAGATTTGGAAAAGGAGTTCTCTGTAGCTGAGATAAACTCCGCAGTCAACAATATGCAAAACAGGAAATCCTCTGAACCAGATGACTTCCCATATGAGTTTTTAAAGAAATTTTCTTAAGTCTACTCTCACCCTTATTAATGTTTGTGCTTGAAGAGTCACTTGCTCTTTCTACATTTTTTTTGTTGTTTTGCTTTGTTTTGTTTTTTTAATGTCCAGAGGACCAGATTTAACTTTTTTAGATTTGTATTGAACGTTTTTTGAAAAAATATAGTATAAATTTCTATACCTGTTTTTCTGCCAAGATGAAAAAAAAAATCATGCTCACAACATGTACAGACAGACGGGTAGGCAGACAGATGGGTAGACAGACGGAGGGTATTTTCAATTACCACTCCGCTCCATGACGAGGGACAAAAAACAAATGTGAACATGGTGAAGAGTCACAACCCAGTGAGATTCTAACTTTTGATCAGCCTACAGTGAACCCGTACGAGTGCAGAATCAGCACGGAGGAAATGAAGGCGCATGAGCAAATCAAATGTTAGTGCATTTTAACAGAAAATCAAAATAAATCATAATAATATGGGCATGTACGCCGATGCACAGAGGGTGTTAACGATCTTATGTTGCATGTAGCAGCATTACATTTCAGCTGTGCTCCCTGTGTCCTCTGCAGCTCTGCAGCTTGCCAAGGATGATTAGCAGCAACATGCAGAAACTTAGGAGACAGGGAAAGCAGCGCTAGAGGAGCCTGGGATTTCGGGGACCTCCATTCAGCCTGCCAGGATGCTGGAGGGGAACACATATACATGAAAGAATGACTAGGAGAGAACTAGTATAAAATTCCAAGACTTTCCGATCCTAAAGGTCATCTGTGACCTGTTACCTCGCTCAGGGGCAGATGGAAGGCTGCTGGGTCTGGTAAGTACAGAGCCCAGGTCCCCCACAGAGAGGGGGCGAGCTTTGGGTGGTCTGGCAGCAGCAGAGGAAGATCTTAATGAAACTGAAGAAGAGGAGCAGAAAAAGAGGAAACAGGAAGAATAGTTTTTTTGTACTGCAGGCAGCAGGAAAAAACTAACAAACGTGCAGATTGTCTTTTAGGGAAAAATCTGCCACTCATTAATTTTTGTCTGGGGATTTATTTATTTATTTATTTTGGTGCAGTCAATAAACAATAATATTTCATATAAAGCCTAAAAATACTTTATTTTGTCAGAATATTTTCAAATTCTCTCACAACCTCAGTAACTTCACTCCACTCCCATGTTCCTGCAGGGAACAATCATCCACATTACGATACACTGAAAATACAACTTTTAATCTCATATTAATCATATAAAATAATGCATTACTATCAGTAATGTTTTTATATTTTTACATTTACAAATAAACTTTAGGTTCTTATATTAGCCAACAAGATGTTGCTCCACTTTTATATTTGAGAGCCATGCGTAACTGAAAAAAGATAGATCTGGTCTGTTCTGTTTAGGCTACACAGTAACTCAGTTTCATTAGCTTAAAATCAAAAACGCAACACAAACGTGGCTAATATACAACCAGCCGCAACCAAACAAACCTGTCTGTGATTGTACAGAGGAAGCAGAACGGTGGAGCGGGGGGTCAAAGGATGGTGAGGAGGTGGAGCGGGATCTGTGTTTGGAAGGGACGAGCGCAGAAACAAGCTGGTCTTCCAAACCTTGGGCTGGAAAGGGATCACTGAAGTTATGTGGTCTTTGTGGAGCTGGGATTAAGCAAAGTTGCAGTTGTGTGTCCAGGCGACAGAAAAAAAGAGGGACAGATGGAAAATCAAGCAGGAAAAATTATAAAATGAAAATAAGCAGGTACACAGCAAAGTAAAGAAGCAGAGAGGAGAATAAGCCCTTTGATTTGTCTTCAACCAGCAAGACAACTAATTAAACCAGTCTAACCATAAGAGACGTGGTCAGAAAAAATTTCTTGTATTGAAACCATTGAAAACTATGGAGACTTTGACTCTATGTGATTTAGAGGGGTGCCTACCCTAACTCAAGAAAACATCAAGCTTGGCTCCATCAAAACGATTAGATATTGCCAACAATACACACATGGTTAGTGTTGATAGAAACTAACGGTGGAACCTCACTGGGCTGCGACTATTGGAGACTGGATGGCAAACAGCGTTCTCAAGGGAGTCTCCAAAATGTCTCGAAACATTCTCACTTTCCTCGTGTGAGTCGCAAAGGCTTGTCGGTTACATTTTAGACATGTTCAAAAATCCTTGCAACAAACTTCCTCTTGAAATATTCATAAAGTAGTTGCAGGAATCCAGAATCCTTCTCAGTTTTGCTGATGGGGTCTCCAACTAGACCACAAGGGAACATGATCTGTGATCCAACACGTGCAGCCCAGAAGGTCCAGGTCTTAAAACCATGCCTGTGATAAATAATTATTAACAAGCAGAACGCCAACTTCCCCCGTCGCTGAGGTATTTGAAGAAATAATGCCTGTAATTTTTGAGACGAGTGTTATTCTGGACTGAATGCAAGTAAACACGAATGGTTTTGGTGCAAGATGTTCAAGTGACTGACAGGTTCTGGCCAGTGGAGGGAGCAAATTTATCCACAACCAGATGCAATGGTGGAGCAAGAGGGTGGCCAATGGTGGCCTTGGTCATCATAGATTAATCTTTTGGCCAGCACAAGGGCCACCCCAATCCATTCAACCATACATCCATCCTTCCATCTATTATCTTTACCCACTTCTTCCTTTTTTTGGGTCACGAGGGTCACTACTGCCCATGTCCAGCAATCACTGTGTGAGAGGCGGGGGACACCTGGACAGGTCTCCAGTCCATCACAGGGACACATAGAGACAAACAACCATTCACTCTCTCACTCACACCTAGGGACAATTTAGAGTTACCAATCAGTCTAACATGCATGTTTTTGGTCTGGGGGAGGAAACTGGAGTACCTGGAGAAAACCCACATGCACGGAGAGAACATGCAAACTCCACCCAGAAAGGTCCCGGGCCGGGATTTGAACTGGCGACCTTCTCTCTGAGAGACAACAGCTCTACCAACTGATCCACCGTGCTGCCCGCCACCCCAATCATTTGAGGAAACTATACTTTTAAGCGCAGTGTTTCCCCTACCATTATACAAGCGGGGCGCCCCGCCCCGTCAACAGAATCGAGTGCCCATCTAATGAACTGCACGCCCCCCCCCCCCCCCCCCCCCAACCTGTTGGCAGTGATGTAACACCAATAAAGGTGCGCTAGCTAAAAAGCTAAAGCAGCCTCTTCCGTCACGCTGAACCCCCCCCCCCCCCCACCCCCCCCCCCCAATCCGACACACACGCACAAAAAACATGGACCTGATTAGCGCCACGCCATGGCCAGTTATTTAGGAGAAACACTTAAGCGATACAAAAAACAGAAAGTATAGTTTCCTCAAATGATAGGGATGGGTGGTTTACATTTACATATAGTGGTGGCCATCTTGGATTTTGATGTGGAAACCCAATTTTCATAAGTGACCCTTCTTAGGGCTAGTTGCAGCCACACACCATATGGAAGTCAGTGTCTCACTTATTTTAAAGTTATCTTGCTCACAACAAGCACGGACGGACAGTAATTCCAATTCTTCATCTTCATTTCATGACAGAATCTGGTCTAAAACTGGTCAAAATTCAGATTAAGTAGATTAAGTCATTAGTGTGAGGGCAGCTGCCACAATGAGAACTAATTGAGTCAAGAAGAGCAATGAAATAACATGGATGGGCAAGAATGCAGATTTGTGAGCCGAGCACACGGAAATAAACTGAGACTTGCGCAACATGTGTCACCTTTCAAACACAGTTCACCAGTTGTAAACACATAGAGTTGAGTGACATTACAACATAAAACGCACCCTTTTTCTCACAAGTGTGAGATTCCAACTAGTCTCCAACATTCACAGTCAAGACAAAAACCACCAGACAGTGAATCTTAAACAGAATATTTTACAAAAATGTAATCTGATTTGTAATTACTGGTCATTTCAGTACAGAGTGTATTGTACCTTGCATTACTTTCCACAGTCAACGTTGTCTTTTTGTTGTAATAAATGTGTAACAGCTATTGTTCTGCCTTCTTTGACAGAACATTTAACCTCCAGCTGATGCCATCAGAGAGATGTAATTCTAGTTTGTACAAAACATGTTTTTATCCAAAGGAAAGATTAAAAAAACTCACAGCCTATAGAATTAACAATCAAACAATTTGTTAGGTAATCACACACATCCTGTGGTAAAATGATCTGTATCCAGACAATAATGAGCAGAGAACGAGGAATTTCTGGGCTAGTACCTGATCTGACACACGACTGAAAGATTTTAGGCAGAGGAGGAGGATGAGCACGTGCAAAGGTTGGTGCCAAGTTGGCATGAGAGGAAGACTCGTCCTGCTGGGTGGTGCCCGGGGGTTGTGTGTTGGTTTGCAGGGAGAAGGATGACATAGGAGGGTGTGGGGGTTCAGACAGGGTGGATGAGGAAATGCCAGAGGACCTTCTGTCTATTCCTGATGTTACTGAGTGGAACATAAAGGTGAGACACGTGGATGTGAAAAGAAAGGAGAAAACGTGACATTAAGTGAAGACTAAGAGTCAGGGGTTAGACAGAAGACAGAACAATACAGGCCTGTTGGGCTGAAAAGGCCTGGAATAAATGGGGCCTCACAGCCACATCCTGCTCTGTTTCAGTGGAAAACACAAAACCTATTTGAAAAAGAGGAACAACAAACTGGAAGATTAAAAGAAAAGAGAAATGAAAGTGATTTCAACGTAATAATTAAAAAAGGAAGCAGCACATTTAAGGACAAGCGGTATGCTGATGTCCATCGTCGCAGAGGGATTTAGTGAATGTAGTTTTCTAGATGAGTGATTTCTGGACAGAAATTGAACAGAGGATGTAAGTAAACTTTAATGTTTTGGTGCAAGATATTCAAGTGGGAGGAGTTTCACTGCGGAGAACAGAGGGAGGTTTTATTTATTTATTTTTTGCTTGTCCAAGGCGTCACAGAGTGATGGATCCTGGTGAGTGGAGGGAGCAATTATATCCACCACCAGGTGCAGTGGTGGAGCCAGAGGGTGACCAACGGTGGCCTTGGCCACCATAAATTAATTTTCAACCACCCCAATCATTTGAAGAAACTATGTATTAAAGCAATATAAAAACTAGAAAGCATAGTTTCCTCAATTGATCAGGGTGATCAGCTGATGTATATAATTGGGATGGTTGATTTTGATGTGGCAACCCAAGTTTTGATAATGACCAGTCTTACACCTAGATGCAGGCTCACATCAAAATAGCAGTTTGGCTGTTGCTTAATTTTCAAGTTATCAAGCTCACAAGGTTGACATATATACATATATGGTGGCAGCCATCTTGGACTTGGCAACTTAATTTATGTAAGGAACCTTTCTTATGCCTGGATGTAGCCGCACACCACAATGGAAGTCGGTATCTCACTTATTTTTCAAGTAATCGTGCTCACAACTTTCACAGAAGGATGGATGAAGAGTAATTTCAGTTCCACCTTTTAGCTCCACAATGGGGGACAATAAGGGTAGACAACTGTCGAGAGGTTAATGGTGCCAAGATGTGAAAACACACTGGGAACACAGCAGCATGGTGAGTCACTGAAACCACATCAATTAATGCCTTCACTCACTTAGGCCTCACTCACTGGAGTGTGTACCTGGTACTCACTGGAGTATGTACCTGGTACTCAAACCTGGTGATCACTGTGGTATGTATCTGGTGCTCACTGAGCATCCTGGTACTCACTGTGCATGTATCTGGTACTCATTGGGTATGTACATGGTACTCAGTGGGTATGTACCTGATATTCACTGGGGTATATACCTGTTACTCACTGGGTATGTACCTGGTACTCACTGTGCATGTACCTGGTACTCATTGGGTATGTACTTGGTATTCACTGGGGTATGTACTTGGTATTCACTGGGGTATATACCTGGTACTCACTGGGTATGTACCTGGTACTCATTGGGTATGTACCTGTACTCACTGGGTACATACTTGATACTCACTGAGTATGTACCTGGTACTCACTGGATATGTACCTGGTACTTACAGGGTAACAAGTCACTTCATAATAGAAATGTTGTAAGTACCACAGTAAGTACTCTGTAGGTACCAGGTACATACCATGTAAGTACTTGGCTACATTAAATATATTTACCAACATGAGACTTTTTAGTAAATTTTCTCGTAATTTTGTAATTGATGTGTAAATTATTTACAAGTAAAAATGTACATACCAACACTGGCTACTGCAAGGTCTCTGAGTGTGAAGACCCCCTTTAATTGTTGGTAATTTGTTCTTTTGTGTGTTTTATCAATAGTATGACCAATAAAATTGCAGTTAGTTGCTTTAAAGGTTACTCCAGAATAACTGATTTTTAAATGTTTTTTTTTCTTCTTTACATTTGGAATAGTCAAATCTGACCCTGCCCATTGGGGCAGATTACTGTTAGAAGACACAAACCGCTTACTAAAACCAATTTTTACTGTTCTTCATTTAACATGGAATTCTTTGTTATGTATTTTATCTTTTAGTATCATTGCTTGACTAAATGTTGCTCATTTATCCAATGTTACCAGTAGCGTGAGTAGTTTGTCCAGTTCCAAAGCTGACCCGTCTCTCTTCACCATCTTCATCGTCACTGTCATTAAAGTCATCCAGATTGCCGATGTCGCTCTGTTTCATGCTCATTAAACTGGCCAAACTCTGCATATCCTCATCCCTGTGAAAGAACACACAAATCAGTGGTGCAGGATGGACAGACCAGCCATCAGCAGAATATTTCCCCTTGTTGGCAAATGTGAAGCTTTGTTTTTGGATATTAATACAGACTCAGGAAAAAGTCATCATACACCTTGAATTTTTACACATTTTGTCACATATCAACCACAAACTTCAAATTAATTCAGTTGAGTTTTATGAGACAGACCAACACATGATTCTGAAGTGGAAGGGAAATGATTCATGGTTTTTAAAAAACCTTCACAAATAAAAATCAGCCAAGTGTGGTCTACATTTGTATTCAGTCCCCTGAGTCTTTGTAGAATTTGCTGCAGCTGAAACTGCAACTAAAGGAGCTAAAGCTAAAGGAAATGTTCCTCTTTTCCCGCATTCCTGTTTGTACCTCAGCTGCAGCTCAGTCAGATTGGATGGATCGTGTCTGTGAGCAGAAGTTTTCAGGTCTTGCCACAGATTTTCAGTCAGATATAAGTCTGGATTTTGACTGGACCCAGTGCTTAATTTGATCCAGATCCTGCCAGAACAAGATCCAGGAACACTCTTATTTTGACAGGGTGCATTCCGGTAACCGTTTGCTTGAATCCGGTAACTCTCAGGCTTACCAATAATAAAGTTATAAACAAATATGACTGCCTTGAACAAATAAAACTTATATTTGTAGATGAACATATGCTGTATATATTCATAAATTAAACGGATTCTTTCATTTTTCTGGACTGAATAATGTCGTGTGTTGAATTATTAAATGTGGACGGAAACGTGTTTATCTTTGACCCATCAAAATGAATGCGGTCATTTATTTACAGAATCAAAGTTTAACACATCACACATTTACATTAATTTAGCAAAATGATTTCAACAACAACATGGCTAATTTAGCAAGCTGTACAATTTGATTAACCATATGGCGATGGTTTTCTCTCTTCACAACAGACATTTCTGAAAAATATCTGGAATGATTTCTAGCAAAAAGAAGAGTTTTAAAGATGGAAATGAAGTTTAAGTTGAGAGAAAGGATGGATGAGGGAAATGTGTGTCGGCATCAGAACGGCACTCTCCGGTGAGTTCCCAGCTTCTTCCCTGGTACACTTAGGTGGTATAAATCAACTCTTTTACCTGGAGGAGGTGATTCCACTGGTACGGAGTTCCATTTAACGCACCCTTTCAGCGTCTCCGTAGGAACAGCTGTGAATCATCCGAAGTAGTGACGGTATTCCGTCCGACACAGGTTCACCTCTCGGTGGACTCACATGAGTGGAGTCCGTCAGAAGTTCCACTCAGATGTGGAAGATTGCATAATTCCCACAAGACTCGAAGAGCTCTGGATCATGCTGGACTTCTGTTCTCCCAGCACTGGAGCGGCAAACGACTGAAGCCAAAGCCTGAAGCGACTCGCCACCCGACTCGACTGGTTTGAACTAGGAAGTACCGACATTTAAAGAGCTCTATTTCCGGTTCATTTGGGAGGTTCCTGATTGGTCAATATCGACCAGACAGGGGTGTGTTTTTGTGACGTAAGAGGTCACTAGGAGTCAGAAAAACAGAAAGTGTTTTGGAACAGATTGAAAATGTTTTTAGAGACAGAGAGAGGAATATTTAGGCGAGTTGGGGTAAAACAGGTGCCAGCCTCTATATTTACGTCTGAGATGATTTAAAAACATGATAGTTCGTTCCAACAACTTGTTTTGCATTTGACTCCAACCTTGGACCAGCTTACACTTGCTCATTCAAAGACAGAAAATCAGAAAATGCATAATTACTCTGTAACAGACCTTAACATGATTTCTACTTTGCATGAGGATTAAAATCATTATTACTGTTTCACAGTTGAATTAAAAATGATTAGTTCACTGCAACATCTAAAAATGGTTTGAACTAAAAACACTTTGATTATCAAACATTTGTAAAATAGTAATGATAATAGAAAAGAGAGTGTTCTTTCAATTGATCAGTGCAGGACACTTAAAAAGTCTTCTGGATGGACTTGATTTGTGTTTCTGGACTCAAATCAATGAAATACAGTTCTTGTTCCAGGAAGGCCCCTCAAGGCCAGATTTGACCTGAGGCCTAGTTCACTACATATTGGATATGTAAACTGATAATAATTACATAAACACTCATTTAAAACACAACAGCCACTTACAACTTCTTATCACATACAAGTTGCCTCTTCAAGTAGCATTTCCACCTTTACCCTTAAAAAAAAATCTCTGCCCCTAAAAGAGTGGTGGGGGTGAGTGCCAAGCCAACCAGGCAGTTGTACATGAGCAGGAGCCCACAGGCAGCAGAAATGAACAGACGGAGGAGGCGCTTCGAGTTTTCACATGTGGAGTTGGACAGTGAATTCAGCAGAGAAGAGTTGGCTCAGAACCATCAAGTAAGGAGAAGGGGGAGTAGGATGCTTGACAGAAGTGGAGTGTTTACAAATGTAGGTCAAGTCAAGTCAACTTTATTTATAGAGCACATTAAATGTTTAACAACCCTTTAAAATACACCAAAATGTAGGAAATTGCATAGATAGTCCATCATAGATAAATAGTCAAATTTTCTGGGGAGGACCCAACTGCCCCCAATCCCCATTAACTCCCCTTCAACCTCCCAGCAGTCCCGCCCTCTATTTGCATTCCGGCATCGATCAGTTTACAAATTAAGCCCTGACTGGACCACTCATGAATGTGCTGTGAGCTGACCCATTCCATTGTAGATGTGGCTGAGACCCTCCACTTCAGTCTGAGGTCTTCTACAGCCTCTAACAGGTTTTGTTCCAGGAGTGTCCTGTATTCAGCTCCATCCATCTCTGAGCAGCTTCCCGCACAGCATGATGCTGCACCATCATGTGTCACAGTGAGTATGAGGTGTTCAGTCTTATGTGTGATGGTAGATTGGTCTGTTCTTGTAGGAGTTCTGCCCTGCACCCTGCCTCTCTCTCCTAAGCACCCTAATTGACAGCAGTTGAAGACAATCAACTCGACCCACAGGAGGAGTATAAGAAGCCACAGGAACCATTCTGCAGGAGCTGGGACATTGCCTACTAACGGTAGTTGTGTTCTAACCTGTTTGTCTCTGATATGAGTAGAGTTTAATCCTGTGTTTGCTCTGCACCTTCTCAGAGTTGGACCTTGCCGTTCACCTGCCCTGCCTTGAGTTCCATGTGAGCCTCGATGACTCTCGCTCCTCTATAGCTGTTGAGAGCCTTCCACCACTTGCCATTCCTATGTGTCTTTCAACCGCTTGCTACTGAAGATCATCTGGACCAAACCTCCTCGTTCCACTCCCTACTACTCTCCGTAAGACTAACCCTCACTAACAATTCCCCATCCATCAACAGACCTTTAACCTTCCCCTCTATTCCCCAGGTGATCCAGTTCCCCAATATTGATGTCTCCTTTATTTCCACCACTGTAAATAAACATAGTAAACTATTACTTGAGTCCTGGTCTCTGTTCAGTTCTGGTCTTTCATCTGGGTACACTTGCTATCATAACAGATCTGAGCAGAGCAACTTATTTTGTTTCTACAGGACATGCGTCAAACTGTGAACAGGAATTCTTCTGGTTTTCTTTCAACAAAGCATTTCTTCTTGTTACTCTTCCACAAAGGTTCAGTTTGTGGAAAACAACTAACAGTTGTCCTGTTGAACCCTGGATCTCTGCACCATCTCCAGAGTAATCATGAGCTTGTGGCTGCTTCACAGATTAATGCCCTCCTCTCACTTCTGAAGGATGACCATGCCTTGGTAGGTCTGCAGTTGTGTTGTACTCTTCCCTTTGCAGACAAAGCCCTGAGACATTCAAAGGTTGTGGTATTGACAGACATCTTAATAACTTTATCCTCAACTTGTCTGGTGAGTTCCTTGGTCTTCATGATGCTGTTTTTCACTAATTTTCTGGAACAAACTTTTGAGATTCCAGTATTGTTTGTATTAGTCGTCATTTTGCAGCTCCTGAGTGGCAGGAAGGAGTTTTCTCCTCAGGACCAAGGCTGCCAGAGGACAACGCTGAGACATGGTCTACTCTATGATGAGAATCAGTTTCCTGTGTTCTTCAAGTTTGAGACTTACTTTTGTCCTTCAGCCTGAGTTTGCCTTGGACCCTCACCCTAAAACCAGTCCTGTTCATACGGACATACAACTAGAAAGATCTCTCACATACCTGCAAACTCAGAAGGATGAAAAAGATGACAAACCTAGAACCTGTTCTGGGGGGAGGGGGGTCTTTGCTACACTCTCTTGCTCCCTCACTTCTGCCCTATTTGTTGCCCTAATGCTAGTGATCCACCAGAGCAGATGTTTTTGATCACTTAAACAAAGCACTGGTGTGTCGTGGTTCATTGGCACTAATGTTACGTGTTAGTTTTCATTTCTCGCATGACAATGATGCATTATTATCAGACAGCAATACAGATGCATTAGAGATAGCCTTCCCAAAATTATTTGCATTGAACCGAGTGACACTGCAGGCTAACATTAATGCACAATTCACTGATGTTAACCGACATCCTAGCTAGCATTACATGCTGACAAGCTCTCCATTATAAATAATGTTTTGATGGATTACGATGCATAACATTGCTTTTGTTTCCAAATCACGTTTAACTTACAGAGCATATTATATTGTTGACAGATAACAAGACTTACCTCAAAACCACCAGTGTCCAACATTAGAAATGGCTAGCTACAACATAGACCAAACAGTTCCCTTCGTCCATGGGAAAGATTTCCCTATCGTCTATCTTGGTTGTGATTGGCCAAATGACTCGCAAACAAAAAAAACTCTTAGAATCTAGATGATTCACCTAAATGACAAATTTTGTTTGAAGTCAGCCAATTCCGTCAAAAAGCAACAAGTTTGCAGGTATGAACTTACCTCTTCATCCTGCCATTCTCATACGCCAACCTGTGAACCTCACCTACTATACTCACCTTCCTGGAACCTGGACTCATGCCCTCCTCTCCAGGCCTGAACACCTACAACCAGAGTAAGCCTCCTCTGTGCATATACAAACCTTCCAGAAGATCCTCAGCACAAAATAAAATGCTTGCCATCTAAATTCTGCTTCCACAGATACTTCAATATCCTGTAAATATTGGTAACAAATGTATTGTTATTCCTTACCTTCAGTCGCTCGAGTCTTCCTGGGTTTCAGTTAATAACACTGAGAAACTAACAATACAAATGTGTCACAAACCTCTGAAGCTCACAGAACATCTGGATCGGTGATGAGAGTAAATCACATACAGGTAGGCTCTGTTTACTAACTAGGTGTCTCCTGAAGGCAGCTGCTTGCTCTGGGTTTTAGTTCAGGATTTCAGAGTAAAGGGGGCTGAACACAAATGTTAAAAAGTTTAAGGCATTTAAACACATTTTCAGATCCTCCAGACTGCACCTTTAACTTGCCCTTTGTATAAAACCCCTGGATGTGTTTTTGTTGTATATTGATGTTTCGATCAAACCAAACTGTGTTAAAAATACAACACTGATGTGTTCATGAGGAGACTTACGTAGCTTTACCCTCCTTTAGAAAGATGCAAGACAGATTCAGCCTGAGCGTGGCCTCCACCACTTTCACAGACAACGGTTTGAGCTTCAGAGTGATGTCATACTGCGCTGGGGTGGAACTAGCATACTTCTTCATATTAACATCAGCTGATGCTAAAACTTTTCTACGGCCATTTGTTTCCTGAGAAAGAATTGGACAAAGACAAGTATGCAGAGAAGCATAACTCTCAAATTGAACTGTTGAGCCTGAACAAAATGACCACTCACAGATAGGGCTGGACAATAATTAGATATCAATATATATCACAATATAATTTTATTAAATAACAGTGATACGAGTTTTAAGCAAATTTTCGATATTTACATTACACTAAGATTACAGAGTTTCCCTGACACATTTATTTTTCTGTTCAGTTTGAAGCAGACGCTTCAATTTCAACCCGAACAGAAAAGGACTCGACACAACTACGTAAGTGTGTGATGACGTACACCACAGCTAGGATAAGCTATGCTCCAACGCGTGGTAAGTTTGTGTTTCTAAATGAGTGCCCATGACCGTCAGAATGTGACTGAACAAGCTTTCACAAGCGAAGAGAAATCAAATAACATAACTGATAAGAAAGGAAAGACTAATTCAACGGTGTGGAAGTGGTTCGGCTTTCTACGCTCTGATAATCTGCAGGTTTCAGTGTGCTGCAAAATGTGACGGAGAGTTGTTCCAACTAGCGGTGGGAACATCTAACTTGTTTCACTCGATAGAGTATTCTGAGAGTCAGAAGATACAGCACAATAAAGTTTGAGCCCATGTGTCCCTGAACATCACCCCCAGCTGCATCAAAAGAGAAACACATGCAGCAAACACAGATGTTTGCTGCATGTGTTGTTAGGTTATGTAAACTTTAAACTATTAATATCGACAAAGTTGAGAGTTTTATGTTTATTTGACGGTGATTTCTAATTTATTTGAAGGCTAACTACAAATAAAAGGTGAACATTAATTTATTTGTACAGTTTGTACAGTTTTTCTGAGACTTTTATATTGTTTATATCGATATCGGAATTATATCGTTAGACCAAAATTAAGAAATATATCGTGATAAAAGTTTTGGCCACATCGTCCAGCCCTAATCACAGATAAATAAAGCAGGATGTTCCATAATATTAATGTGTGTTCCTTCAAATAATTTTTACTAATTTAAGTTTGATTGTCATTAAAACATGGAGGTCTTTAAATAAACAGAAACACGTTATACACCGATGTCCCCGTCAGTTTCATGCCTGGCTTCATGCCAGTATCATACTAAGATCAGTTCTTTCTTTATGTGTTTAGCCCTTTTGATTAAGTTGTGAATGCATTGTACTTGGTTGACTCCAAAGTTAATATTTAGATGTATATCAACCGTTTTGTTAACTTAATTCATGCAAACTAAAGGGAAAAAACTCGAGTTACTCCTAAACTGGTTGTCCTGGTTAAACACATTTGATCATGCATAAACAACTAATCATTGTGCACCTGAAACAAACTGCACAGGTGATCTGCACACATACGTTGACTGTGTGAATAACATCACCTTTTAGCAACTCAACCTCATGTGTTCTTGTTATACTTCTCTCATTTATGAAAAGAAAAATGACCGACAAGAAAAAAGAAAATGATTAATGATAGTCTGATAAACAGGAAGGACCCGTTTCATTTTGATGCATGGATGTTTAGATTATCAGGAATCAGATCAGGCCCTGTGATGGACTTGCGACCTGTCCAGGGTGTACCCCGCCCCTCGCACAGTGATTGCTGGACATGGGCACCAGCGACCCCCGTGACCCAAAATGGAACAAACGGTTAAAGATAATGGATGGATGGATGGAATCAGATCAGAATTATTTTTTTTCAGAAATCAACAATCATAAATTTGGGCGGCTGTGGCTGAGTGGTTAGAGCAGTCGTCCTCCAACGCAAGAGTTGGGGGTTCAAATCCACCAGCAGTCACATGCCGAAGTGTCCCTGGGCAAGACACTGAACCCCTCATTGCCTCCGATGTGTGTCCCATCAGTGTATGAATGTGATAAAGTGCTGATTAGTCTTTGTATGGATCTAGTAGAGTGCTGTATGAATGGGTAAATGAGGCACAGATTGTAGTGGAAAGCACTTTTGAGTATCTCCATAAGATAGAAAGGTGCTATACAAGTACAGTCCATTTACAGTCCGTTATAAACAACTGTTAGCATAATAAAAAAATGTCCACCTCAATATTACTCTGATCATTTAGGAAATTATTGTACAGATCTGTCGTTATTAGAACTACTTTGTAATTTAGGCTTCTGTGGGCTTTAGTTGTTTCAGCAACACACAAATAACAAGGCAAGCAAAAACCTTGTTTTAACTTTGACCTTGATGTGCAACCTTGCCCTTGAAGCTGGGGTGATGAAAACATTACATCACGTGCTGTTTAGTGGTGGTACAAATTAAATTAATTTCATAAAATTATCTTGAACGGATCAGAAGTTATGACCCGGACAAGTATTGCCCTTGTTTAGCAGTTGACCTTGAATTTTGACCTTGACCTGGAGTGATGAACCATGTACACAATACTCCGTCTAGCGATGGTTCATATGTGCACAAAGATTCATTAGGTTATCTTGAGCGTTTTAGATGTTAAGGGCGGGATAAGAAAGTTTATAGACGAACAGACGTAATTATAAAAAGTAAATGGTCATAATGTTTTGGCTCATGGTGCTTTCTATATTTATAGATTTCATGTAAAAGTCATTAAAACCATTAAAGTAAAATGTTAAAGTAAACTTACATTTTCTATGACAAAAGTCCAGTCCTTGTCTTCGAACTCTTCTGCAGTGGGGTCCTGTTGGTCAAGAGATAACCACATTTAACAATCCACCCCTCACTTCACTTAAAACTAGTATTTACTACTCAGTGCTCAGATATAAACGTTTTTGTGTTTCTGTTCAGCTGCTCCTTCTTCAGGGGTCGCTACAGCAAGCAAACACATGCAAGGTTTGCCAATTGTAATACGCCAGATGTCCTTCCTGATGCAACCTAAAACACAGCACTGACCACCGAGCTACCGCGGCCCATTGCTCCATGTAAATCAAAGCAGAGGCACTGGCATGAGAAGACAGAGTCATACCTTGAACAGTGTGACGGTAATGTTTAAACTCTCTGGAACCTGCCAAACAACCAGTCCTCTGTAGGGGTTCTTAATCCCCGGCTGCCAACAGTGAAGCTAAGAACGAGAAGAAGAAAAAGAAATTAACATTTTCAGTGATAACATTGGTGCATTCTTAGTTCATATCTTAGATGTTATTACTGTTTTTCTTAGACATTTTATTGTTGGATGTAACTGGGACCCTGTGTACATAATTTCACTCCACCACATGTACCACATGAGGTGCGAATGACAATAAAGAAACTCTGACTCTGACTCTGATAACCTGGTTAAGGACATCGTTTTCCCATGAAGAGAATGTTTTTACACAAAACAAAATATATATAACATATTTTCCAGTGTATAAGGCACAGTTTTTTTGCGTAGATTTGTCAGTCCTGCGATATACACCGATGCGACTTACTGTATTTCATAACGCAATTTTTTTTGCACAGTGATTGCCGGACATGGGCACCGGCGACCCCCGTGAGCCAAAAAAATGGAAGAAGCAGGTAAAAGATAATGGACGGATGGATGGATGGATGGATGGATGGATGGATGGATGGATGGATGGATGGATGGATGGATGGATGGATGGATGGATGGATGGATGGACGGACGGATGGATGGATGACGCAATTTTTGACTGACACTTTAAATTTCTAAGAACTGCAACAGCGAGTCCTCCCATGTGCACTTGCTTAACTCCGTTGGTGCAGGTGAAGGAACGCTGGAGAGCTAGCAGCTACGGCCGTGATGGATGGATGGGGCCACACCACCCAGGTGAAATGAAGCTGTTTTGAACATTAAATAAATGCATAATAAACGCAACCGTTCAGCAGTGATACATAATAAATGCGACTTACACCCCGAAGCAACTTCTGTTTTTTTCCCTCTTCATGATGCCTTTTTTTGACTGATGCAACTTATACTCCAGAGTGACTTATATGCAAAAAAAATAAAAATAATAATAATAATAATAATAAAT